TTGGGATTGTGCCTGAGAATTCTTGCCTGAAGTCCCTTGTAGTATCAACTCATGTTTGCTGCTCATTCGTATCCCTGACCTCTGATGTTATCCATTTTTAGGTCATTTTCCTTCAGTACGTCCAGAACCAGATTTTCAAGGGCTTCTCCGCTGGTGGATTGAATGTTGCATACCTGAATAAATCGCTCCTTAATCTGCATATTGTGCACGTACTTGACCACAAAGGACACAAATGTTTGTCTCTTGACGTAAAAAAATTTTTTGCAAAACAAACTTATTTGTGTATGTCAGAAATCTTTCCTTTGAATACAAAGTCTTGCTAGAGATTCTCACATGATGTCTTGGGCAGGGCCAAAAATTGCAACCAAAGATTTCTGATGTGTGCAAATAAAAGTTTATGTTTTGCAAATAACTAAGTTCATGAGACAAAAATGAGTGACTTAATTAAAAAAAAAATTTTTTAAACAAAACTTTTTCTTTAAAAAAGGAAATCATTACAATTCCAAAAGTTTTGATTACTATTTTATTTGACTTAACTGAGGCTATTTTTTTTTTTATTGAATAATTGTGAAACACATTTAACTCCATACTCTGCGAACCAGACCATAAACTTACTTAAAGTTTGGATTGAGTTATGCCCCTTCACTAATGACACGCTTTTATTGAACAGGAGCAGTTTGATTGATTATTACATACATTATATCTATCTTATATCTATCATGGTAGTTCTGGATGAGTTCTCCTTTAAGATACATTTACCTAACGCTAGAATAAATGCAATGTACATCATGCAGGCAAGGAAATTAGAAAATCAGACATATATCCATTATGGAGATGATAGGTTTTTGACGGGCGATGTGCCCCTACTGCATAAGTAATACTGAAGAATGTCCTACTATCATTAACGACACAGGGAAGCTTTTTAGTTATCTTGCTTTGCTAGCAAAGTCATTAGCTAGCAGCTAGCTCATAGCTCAAGAACAAAAGCCTAATGTCTGTATGATAAAAATACTGAATCGATAGATAAGAACAGCTTTTCCTCACCTGGCTGTCTCCTCCCGCTCAGTAGTTCTTCAGAGAAAGGAGCGCCACGTCCTATACTTTCCTCCGTTTAAACCGCTACTCTTTGCTAAAGTAGAGAAATTATACAACGTTCAAAGTTTTCCGTTGTCTGACAAGTAGCAAGCCTACTCCAGTATTTTCACCAAAAATTATGTTTTTTAATTCCCAAAAAACTGTTCTGTAATCATTACGGAACAGTTTTTTGTGAATTAAAAAACATAATTTTCAATGTAAAAGACTAAAAGCACAGAGTAAACAGTGTTTTAGATCAAACAATACTGCATCATCCATGGGGCTCATTTGGTTTCACTTACATCTCTATTCAGGTTGACATTGGAGAGGCGGTGCAGACTGAAGACATAGCCATCCGTCCGATCATGGTTGATCTTGCTTCGGGCCAAATGAGCAGCGGCCACAGTGTAATGTGGAATATTCGCTACCTTTAGCTCCGCAGTTAGCCGCCTTATCTGACTGTGCGAGAGGCAAGTGCGTCGTCACCGGCAAAAGGTCAAAGGTAACAATGTGACCGGAGGGCTTATTGTATTGTTTTTCTTGCCAAAAAAAAAAGATAATAATAATTATTTCAGTACATGTGTCAAAAAAAAAAAAAAAAAAAAAAAAAAAAAATAAAAAAAAAGGACCAAAGGGCACATTGGGATCATGGAGCAAAAGGGGCAGGTGCTCAAGCCCCCTTAGCCCCCCCCCTCTGCACGTGCCTGCTCCCTGCTGCTCTTGGGGAAGAGACTTAGAAGCATCTGATGCAGGTCCAGCAGATTCCAGAACAGTTTCTTCCCCACCGCCATTAGACTGCTGAATGTTTTGTATAATGGGTTATTGTATTGTATTTTATCATTATATATGTTAAGAAAAATGTTAGAACTGTAAATTTACAGTCTTTTTTACTATTTTTTAAGGCTGCATTTTAAAAAAAGATGAAATTGTCCAGAGAGCTGTTTTACACTTGTGTAAACAAAATGACAAATAAAATCTGTATAAGTTTTTAAGTCTAAGTCTAATGTCAGCTGGGCACTTGTTATGAATAATGTTGCAATAGATGCTTCGAGTTGGTGTGCACAACCGCCCAGTTTGTAGAACATCAGGACCGTCGCCAGGAAACCATGACTAGCACCCCAAGAGAAATTATCGAGTGAAGAATGCTTTAGATGGACGACGTCATAAGGGGAAGATGAATCAAGAATAGTAGAACTCTAAGCTCTAGCTACGAGAGGCAGGGAGAGAGAATCAGGACACGCAGACATGGGTCACACTCCCAACAGTAGAGTTGTTCTGTGCGCAAGTACCACCAAAATTACTGTATTTTAGTTATTCATGAAAATACGTAACAAATAGCGTCCCTTATCAGTTCAATAACTTCCAAATACGAGAGGATTTCGTTTTCAAGGGACGGGTGCCAACCCTACTTTCCACTCGTGACCCACATAGAATCAGCAAAAAAGCATAAACCACAGCAGCACATTTTTGAGGTTATTTGTGCAAAGTTAATTTTGCACTTACTTTTATAGGAACAATAACAGGAAAAAAATGTAATCATCACCAAAAATAAAAATAAATCCATTACATTGTTTTTTAGAATGCTTACATGATATGCTGTGTGAAAGCTGGTCTTTGGCAAATACAGTGCATGTTTTAATGAAAGTTTCAGGTGTAAAAAAAAAAAAGCTTTGATTTAGCACGACACTTCATAAAAGGTATATTTATACACACATTTGATAACCACTTGGCAAATAAGAATGGAATCTAAGTCATAAATCCAACTGAAAACACAAATTAATCTATTAGAGTATTCATTCTCTTTTCCTCTAAGAATAAAATACAAATATTTGTTAAAAAATAAGATGAATAGTTGGTGAAATAACATTTCACATTCGGATCTGTACTGTGTCTTAAAATTGTGTAAAAATTTTATTTTTCCGTGAACTATTATAAAATTATCAGATTTGATTTAATTATATGTTTTAATCTTAGTAGGTTACATTTGGTCTGTGATGTTTAAAAACAACTAGGTATCCAAATCCCAACTAAAACCAAGTAATTCCAGTCTAGGTAGCTAATTAGCTATCTAGTATGCTAGCTTGTTAAAAAAAAAAAAAAAAAAAAAAAAACTATTTACAAATTCAAATCTGAATTTAAATGATGTCTTCAAAGTTGACTCCTAATCAGACGTCACTTCATTGTATACAACATTAAAAATCTACCTCTCTGCTTTGCTTGGGGCCTGAAAGCTTGTGTGCTAAGTCAAAGCTAACTGTGTGCTAGTTAAAACACTTCTAAAACCATAATAAAAGTTTACCTAAGTAGATTTCACAACATCAAATTGGTTAGGGTAGATTAGCAAAGTTGTGGATATATTAGGCTATTTCTTTTGTGGATTAAATAACAAATCCAAACAAATTAATTCTGCTGCCAGCTGTTAGCACAACAGAAGCTAATTTTTACCTAAACTAGAAAATTCCTGAGGACATTTTTGGGGGGGTTGCCACTTTGGGTGTAGTTTTCCTTGTATAGCTAGATTGAGATTGTGACATGTTGGCTTGTGCCATCATACCTTGTGGTTGACTTAGGTTGTTAAATTTGCCTCATTGTAACCCAGCATGGTAACGACTTAAAACAGATTTTTTTTCATGCATTTGTAGTTTTTAAATTACATTGTTTCCAGAAGCCTCTCTTTTAAAATTTTATGTAGGTTGTATTTTGAAAACATTCTGGTATTCAATTTTGCACAAAGGTTTAACATACAGCCATCATTTTTAGGCCAATGCTAAATGATCTACTTTACAGATATAAAGGCTTTTACTTTGTAGAGTGGGCCGCACGTTGGAGCACAGGGTAGCAATGTTGTCTTGCAGCAAAAAGGTTCTGGGTTTGATTACAGGCCCTGGGTCTTTCTGCATGGAGTATGCATGTTCTCCCTGTGCATGAGTGGGTTCTCTCTGGGTACTTCTGCTTCCTCCCACAGCCCAAAAACATGACTGTTTGGCTTCTCTAAATTGTCCTTAGGTGTGAGTGTGTGTGTATGTCCATGGTTGTGTGTCTTTGTGTCGACCTGCGAAAGATTGGTGACCTATCCAGGGTGTACCCCGCCTCCAGCCCATAGACTGCTAAAGATAGGCATCAGCCCCACCATGACCCTGACAAGGACTAAGCGGAAGATGAATGAATGGATTAATTATGGAGTATTAGGTATTCGATATTTTGGCATGGTTGTGTCATAAGAATAGGGTCGCCATCCCTTTTCAATTCTTAAAATACACTGTTTCCCTATTATTAGGTCAATACATGCAATGCATGAAAATTTGAGCCTTTTATTTTGAAATTTGAAGTAGGGTCTGTTGTGAAAAGTCTAATTTGTGTCATTTCCACAAAAGGCTGACTTTGGGTCACAATGTTGAGCCCTATGCAGTGATAAATTGCTGTGTATAATGGAAAGACTTTTATTTTGTACAGTACTGAGTGTATTACTTTGAAAGTCAGGCATAATGTGTCTTAAGGATATGGATATTATAAGGATATGTTCCTATTATCAATTCAATATTTACATACTGTATGTACCAAGGAAACTTGTGGCTTTTATTTTGTAGAATAATGTATCTATTATTTTGAAGGTCTTAAAAGGTTTTGTTTTAAGCTAAGAGATGAAACCCATCAGTCAAAATAGCCAGTTTTCAATTCTAAATTACTCCATGACACTATTATCAGCCTAATAGATTATTTAGTACTACATTAAAGTGACGGTTCTATTGTGACAGCAGGAACTGCTGTGAAAGGACACGGTAGGCAATTCTCCCATACCATTTCAGTAGTCATACTTCAGCCATGATGTTTAAACAATTTAAAATAATTCGGAATTAAAGTCAGAACTGTGAGAATAAAATCTGAATTTTGAGAATCAAGTCAGAAATAGGTCTTCTTTTTTTTGCTTGTTTTATGTAACTTTTTTTGCCCTTGTTCTCTTTAATAATTTATAATCTTTAAGTTTGAGTTTTTCCTATGATGACATATATATAGTATATTTATTTTAGTTTCAACTTTAAATTTTAAACATATTTTTCTCAGTCTTTTTGTTGCACAGAATCCTGTTTATATGTTTTTTTTAATGTTCTATACAAATAAACCATATAATTTCTGCCAGCGTTTTGCCTGTTAGATGAGTCTTCATTGCCCCTGATGCCAACAAAGGACGCTTATATTTAGTGGCTAAGATGCTAAAGCTCACAAAGGGTGGTGAGGCACCAGGAGAAAGGAAAAGAACGTTAATTAATGAAGCCATTGAAATAATAAAAAATCAGCATTGCTTTACTTTATGTGACAGAACTGACTATGTTAAGATTGTACTGTAAAATGTGGAGCATTTATGTGAAGAAAATGGAGACTGCCACAACCCCTGCATGGCTCATGAGGAAAGTGTGAGAGGTTGGAAAACTGCTGGTCAGAACACAAGCAGGAAGTTAATCTAATCTAATCCTGACAATCTGGGCTGTTTAAATCACAATTTTAGTCTTTATGAACTCAAATCCAAGTTGACATCTTTTGTCTTGGATGGACGTTATGCATCGAGACCCAAATTGTGCCTTCCAAAAAGCCATCAGTCTCCTGCCGTGTTCCAATGTGTTGTTGGCTACCTTGTGCTCACTCGCTTGCAACAAGTGATAGGTGCTTTAAAGGTGGACAGAAGTGACACCAAACTGGCAGCCTGTGAGGTTGTTCCTGTTTGGATTGACAGTGAGGGTGTTTCTAGTGTATCTGCTGTGGAAAACTATCCCAAGGATAAACTGGGGATCAGGGTGACATTAAATCTGTCCACAAGACAAACAGTTCTGCTGGTTTAGTGCAATCAGAAACATCTGAACTATTTCAGTGCAGTAATATTTCTCCTGCTCCAGTCTAGTTTGTCATATGTTGCTCAATAGCAAAACCAGTTCAGCCTGTTTACTGGTCTAATAGATCCCGGTGCAGTCCAGCCTGGCCTAAGCAGCGATGCAGTGGTTCCGTCGGCGGGACATGACGTATCCTCTCCTGCAGACGCAACGGAACGAGCCTTCGGTGTTCACACAGCGGGCGTTAACACACGGGAACTGCAGGCCCACGCTGTCTTCACACTCGTTTATGTCTGCAAGAAAAACAGGCAGGCAAAGTTTTAATAATGATGCGAGTGATTGCTAGGGGGTGGGGTGTCGGTTCGGCAGATGCTCAGTCCGACATCTTTCTTTCTTTTCTCTTTTTTTTTTATTTCAATTCACAACACATGTCATCTCAAGTCACTTTAAAATTGAACCACATCATAAAGTCAAATAGGTTCAAAGTTTTCTATCTAAGGAAAACCAGCTGATTGCATCTAAGCATGCTTGTAGCGACAGTGGAGAAGAAAAACTCCCTTTTAACAGGAAGAAACCTCCAGCAGAACCAGGCTCAGTGTGAGCGGCCATCTGCTGAGGCCGACTGGGTTTCAAGGAGACAGAAGCAGAGATAGAATGGACAGCTGTAAAAGGCGGCCCCGTCCAGGAAACACACAGCCAGGCAGACGAGCTCTGAGCCAGCTCCCATGTCAGAGGACAAAAAGACCACATCCAGTTAGTCACAGTCAGAGAAACAGGACTACACTTTATCTTCCAAGACCAGTAGCATGACGGCTTCTGACCAAATTCCCACATATAGATCCACTCACATACATTCACTTACTAACAAACAAACACACACATGGTTAAAGACACGTCGGACATGCAAGGGTACACATGGAAATTAAGTTTTTTCATACACTAACATTCAGAGCAACAAAGTCTGACAAGGAATTTGAAGGGGGAAAATCAGCTCCAAGCTGTTTATTCTTACAGATTAAAGAACTTTAATCACTGTCACTGCGGAAAGGATAAGAGTAAAAAATGCAGTTTTAGGCTTAGAAGAAACTAAAACTTAATATGCTGTGATGAGTTGTAGGTTTCAGATAAAAAATAGTTTTAAAGTTTTCTTTAGGCTGTCCATGAATTGAATGTTACAATGTGTAAAACAGGGTTAAATGCTTTCTAAATATCTACAGGTTTCTTTAGAGCTTAAACATAGGTCCTTAAATGAGATTATACATATCTATATCTATATATCTATATAGATATATATATCTATATAGATATATAAATATGTATATGTGTATATATATGTATGTATATACACATACATATATATATATATATATAGATATAGATATATATATATATATATATATACATATATATACATATATATATATATATATATATATATAGATATATATATATATATATATATATATATCTATATATATATATATATATATATATAGATATATATATATATATATATATCTATATATAGCAGTGACGTGCGGTCAGGGGAGGCAGGTGAGGCAGTGCCTCACCAGCCATCATGGAAAGAAAGAAAATATATAATCATAAAGTAATTTAAATTGTTATATTCATCCGGTGGTTTGTACTAAAAAATATTCATTTTTCATGTAGCTTCACCAATTTCGATTTTTATTTGTTCAAAATCGCTGAATTTTCTTATTTTCCCATTCAAATGCTTGGAAGCGATGCCGGTGAGGCAGCAGCGAGCTCTGCCTCACCTTGGATTGCGCAACCCCTGGCTCTGCGCTGGCTGCAAAGCGGAGAGAGCATGTTGCTGTACGGCGTCAATAAAATGGTTTAAACAAATGTAATATGTGAACTTATTTCTAATAATTTGGCTTATGTATATAATGTACAGAGCTTTTTGTCACCAACTGTGTTTGTGTAACGTGTTTCGTGTAATGAGCGATTATAAACGGCAGAGAACAAGTTCGAGGTGAGGCAGGCAGTTCTCTTGCCTCATGGCAGGGGGTGCTCAAGAGACTGAAAACATAAGGCAGGAACAGGACGGATCAAGGAAGGCTTTCTTCCCTGGCAGTGATCTCCATTGAGACAGAGAGACTTTTAAAACTGAAGGAAGATAAGGAGGACTTCTATTCATTTATAAGTAAAGGTAAGACAGTAATAACATTTATTTTGTTTTGTTTTTTAAGGAAATGTGTGTTTTGTGAGCTACAGTTTGTATGTGTAAGGATGCAGAAGTGAAACATAACATGTAAACTGCTGTCAATCTATGCATCTATTTGCAAATCTGATTCTGATGACGTCAGTGCCTCACCAGCTATGAACCTCACCGCACGTCACTGATATATAGATATATCTATATCTATATATATATACACTATATTGCCAAAAGTATTTGCTCACCTGCCTTGACTCACATATGAGCTTAAGTGACATCCCGTTCCTAATCCATAGGGTTCAATATGACGTCGGTCCACCCTTTGCAGCTAGAACAGCTTCAACTCTTCTGGGAAGGCTGTCCACAAGGTTTAGGAGTGTGTTTATGGGAATTTTTGACCATTCTTCCAGAAGCGCATTTGTGAGGTCGCACACTGATGTTGGACGAGAAGGCCTGGCTCTCAGTCTCCGCTCTAATTCATCCCAAAGGTGTTCTATCGGGTTGAGGTCAGGACTCTGTGCAGGCCAGTCAAGTTCATCCACACCAGACTCTGTCATCCATGTCTTTATGGACCTTGCTTTGTGCACTGGTGCACAGTCATGTTGGAAGAGGAAGGGGCCAGCTCCAAACTGTTCCCACAAAGTTGGGAGCATGGAATTGTCCAAAATGTCTTGGTATGCTGAAGCATTCAGAGTTCCTTTCACTGGAACTAAGGGGCCAAGCCCAGCTCCTGAAAAACAACCCCACACCATAATCCCCCCTCCACCAAACTTTACACTTGGCACAATGCAGTCAGACAAGTACCGTTCTCCTGGCAACCGCCAAACCCAGACCCGTCCATCAGATTGCCAGATGGAGAAGCGCGATTCGTCACTCCAGAGAACGCGTCTCCACTGCTCTAGAGTCCAGTGGCGGCGTGCTTTACACCACCGCATCCGACGCTTTGCATTGCACTTGGTGATGTATGGCTTGGATGCAGCTGCTCGCCCATGGAAACCCATTCCATGAAGCTCTCTGCGCACTGTTCTTGAGCTAATCTGAAGGCCACATGAAGTTTGGAGGTCTGTAGTGATTGACTCTGCAGAAAGTTGGCGACCTCTTCGCACTATGCGCTTCAGCATCCGCTGACCCCGCTCCGTCAGTTTACGTGGCCTACCACTTCGTGGCTGAGTTGCTGTCGTTCCCAAACACTTCCATTTTCTTATAATACAGCTGACAGTTGACTGTGGAATATTTAGGAGCGAGGAAATTTCACGACTGGATTTGTTGCACAGGTGGCATCCTATCACAGTTCCACGCTGGAATTCACTGAGCTCCTGAGAGCGACCCATTCTTTCACAAATGTTTGTAAAAACAGTCTGCATGCCTAGGTGCTTGAATTTATACACCTGTGGCCATGGAAGTGATTGGAACACCTGATTCCAATAATTTGGATGGGTGAGCAAATACTTTTGGCAATATAGTGTATATATATATATATATATATATATATATATATATATATATTTATTCATTCATATATATATATATATATATATATATATATATATATATATATATATATATATATATCTATATCTATATATATATATATATCTATATATATATATCTATATCTATATATATATATCTATATATATATATCTATATCTATATCTATATATATATATATATATATATATATATCTATATCTATATCTATATCTATATCTATATATATATATATATATCTATATCTATATATATATATATATATATATATCTATATCTATATATATATATATATATATATATATATCTATATCTATATATATATATATATATCTATATCTATATCTATATATATATATATATATATATATATATATCTATATATATATATATATATATATATATATATATATATGTAAATATATCTATATATAGATATATAGATATAGATATATAGATATATATGAGGTAATTTGAGGTTATATCCACAAAATAATGAGCTGAACTGTAGGCTGACTACATTCTGTTATAGATAACTTTCAACTGCCAAGCATTGAAAGGTCAGATATGTTTAATGTTTTTTGAATAGACTCTGAAACAATCTGCCGAATAAACATTTGGACTACAGATCATTTAAATGTAATAAATTTAATGATGACTTTAGAGATAAAGTGAAAGTAATTGTTGGGAAAAATATCTGGTTGTGACTGCACTTAGGTTTTGAGTAAATAATGAATTACTCATTAAAGACACTGCTCATTCTAATAGGAACATTAATTGTACTCTCTTGTGTGTCGGAGGATCCCGGAGGAATGGATTGCTGAACTATGATGAGAACACTCCATGAGAACCACCACGTGGATTTAGCATCTACTCGCCATCGGACAGCATGGAGATCAAAGGGGCTGAACCCAAACATCTATAAACAGAGGTGTTGATGGCAGCAGCACAGCTGACGACCCAACGTACCGACGCAGGTCATTGAGGTCATGTCCAGCTCGAAGCCCTGGTAGCAGTCGCAGGTGTAACCCTCTGCAACGCGGATGCACCGGCCATTGTCACAGCCGTGCAGAATCCCACAATCCTCGGCGTTCAGACCGGCGTGCGTCTCGTAACGCCCTGAAAAGATGAGACATAAGGACCGTAAGCAGAGCATCAGAAAAGTATTCACACCCCTTTTGTCATATTACGATCTTTTCTTTCTTTTATTAGTTTCAAAATGATAGAATGAAAAAATTAAAGCGTTTTTATTTTAAACACACTTTTCTACTTTTTCTGTCACCCAAATATCTCAAATATGTAGTTATGAGTGTTGTGCACGAACACGTTCATTGAACGCCTTTCATTGAAAGGCGTTAATTGAACTGAAAGGATCCGTTTTAAAGTAAGGAACGTGAACGAGAGCGACGTTCATTCTGGGAATAGTGAGCAACACACACAGCTCACATTTGCGTTCAATTGACAACGACACTTTTCACATTTTTTTGGATAGTGTTTTACGGCACTTATAACAGCATGATAGACCAGCATGTCTACTGCTAGATCTTGTCTGCACGATTCAGACTCATCTGCTGGTATTTCTGATGTCAGGTTTGCAGAGCGCTTGGTAGTTTTATGAACTACCAAAGGAAGACTTGGACAGAAAAGAACTGGGCAAACTGTGCCTCATACTGCAAAAAATCACCTCTGCATGTAACCCATCCCGTTGGGGAGCAGTGTGGGGTTAAAGGGTCTTGCTCAGGAACCCATTGTGCCGCCTGTGGGGTACTGGTACTTGCAACCCTCTCAGAGCACAAGTACACTGCTCTAACCACTATGCAATGTCAGCAATGTCCACTTCAAATTTAAAGTGAAACATCGAGTTAAAGCATCCAAGCTACCTTTGCAAATATCTGCTACTGAATGAGGAACGTAAGACATCATTTTGATCCAGATCTTTTCAGCAGAACCTGAAGGTTCCTGCATGGTTCTGAGGTTCTGTGTAATTCGACGAAATAAAGACTTCATTGCACATACATCATACCTTGATATATCCAGTATTTTCCATTACTTTCTATATATAATGATCACACATTTAAAGGGTGAAATATTAAGGTTCTATTGTGGAGGAATGTGGCTTAAAGTCATAGGGAAACGTCCCTTCCATTATTGAATTTTGGAATTCTCACAATGGCTGTTCCAACTGTTGCATTTCCAAATTCTCCTGAGTGGTGCCCGACTTTACACGAGTGAATACATTTATGTGACTGGTCGTTTATCAAGAGGGCGGGATTGTTGTGGCAGAACATTTGCAAGCAAGTTTGATTGTGGCCAGTTTGTCGGAAGCATCTTGCTAACCAGTTAGCAACTTAGTGCTAGTAGGTTCCCAATGAGAAATTCCATTGGGACCAAGTAGCACTAAATTGGTGACTTAGAAACGACACTGTCAAGGAACGCTATGGACAGAGGAAACATGCAAGAGGAGGAGAGTTTTGTGTCAGAGGTCGTGGATGAGTCTCCTCCATCAGACATTTTTTATGTAGAGGAGGAAAGCGGGGAAAGATGTTGTGGAAGAGGACGCCAGGGCAGCAGAAGCTTGGTTTGGTGTAGAAGGCTTACAGCCGTACATGTTTGAGCCCTTGCCTCGCAACGCTGCCAGTTCTGTTAGCTCTAGGCCTGCTGAAGACACAGACGTCCATCCCTGTGAACACTGGGACGGAACTCAATGGGAAAAGAAATTATTCTTAATTCTTATTCCAACCGCTGCGTATATTAGCTGCTACATATGAATCAAGATGCTATGACTGAAAAAATAGATAGAAAAATGAATGCTTATATATGATTGGCCGAATTTAGGTGCACAAGCTGACGTATAACTAACTGGCCTGCATAAGATAAAGGAAAAGAAAATACAAATTTTATATATACAATGCTTTTTTAAATAGAAACCTTCTAAATTTTGGGACAATATCGTCTGATAAAGATTATATTTATATACATGTTTAAGCCAGAATGAGTAGACATTTAAATATGATTTCCCAACGACTTTAATTGACCAAATAAACTTGAACTAGTTAATTTATCGGTTTGTGAACTGTGTTCATTCGATGAAAAAGTGAACTATGAACGTGAACTAGTTATTTTTCATCTGTGTGAACTGGACTTTAAGCTTGTTCTTTTTATTTATGAAATGGCACAACATTGGTAGTTATGTAGAACCTTTTCTGTCCCAAAATTCAGTCTTTTGTACAGAGATGGCATGGAGCTACATCATGGCTGACCTGGGGGACTTTCCAAACTTAAGAGTTCTGTTGGCCGGAGTGTTTAGTTTTGGTCTTGTCTGATCAGAACAGTCTTCAAACAACAGCTGTCCTGCAGACACATTGTCATTCTAGGTGGACGTTCATGCCTTGGTTGATGTGTAGGTGGTCCATCCTCCCACCATGCTCAGGTGATGGGGAGACGTTCAAAGCTTGAGGGTTTATTTCAGATGATGACAGATGGTAAAACTATTTAGAGTGAAATGTGATTTATAGAGAATATGTCTGCTGTTAGGATAATAATCATTCATGATGTGTGAAGTTTATTACACCTTAATATTTGCTGCCTGTTGCGTGTCAGAATTGATGTTTTCCACAATAGTTTATCTAATTAAAACAGTTCCTCTGTCTGGATACACCGTTATAATCTTCATTGTGTACATGACAAAGATTTGGGAATGAAATGAGAGCGGTGTCCTTAATCTAAAAACAAAGTGTAATAATTTGATAAGCTGGAGCTATGGATGTCTCCTAATCTGCTAACGTGTACGATGTAATGATGTGATGATGTAATTATGTGATGATGTGGCAGACTGAAGTATAAAATGCTTCTTTAACTTTTTAGTCATTGCCACTTCCTGAGAAGTGAGCCCAGATGGTGAACAGCTGCCTCCTGTAGCTCTACGCAACTTCTCTGATCTGAGTAAGATTACAATTTATATCAAAATCTGTTGTGATGTCTCCTGGTTATTTAATACATATAAGTTATGAAGTGTTATTTAAAGAGTTTGTCCCGAGTGATCTCTTTTCAGGGAAAAGAACCAGAAAGATAAAAAGATGTAAACACAGAGCCTATCTTTAAAACTGCTCTGGGGCAGATCAGTTTTTGATGCTGTTTTCTATAGTGTTTATATCCAAGTGGGATTAGAGGTCCAAACACACCTAATGAACTGAAAACTTACGCTCATACACCCTCCGGGGTCCTCCTCCGCCTCCTGCACTCCTGTCTGTGAAAGGAGGAAAAGGTGGTGCCGGCCTCCATGTCCTAAAGTCGTCCTCCTCCTCCCCTTCTCCGTAGGGAGATCTGGGCAGCGGAGCCAGGTTTAGAGGAGGCGAGTTGGGCAGGGATGGAGGGTCGGGCCTTGACCCGAATGCAATGTCTGACCTGGGGTCTGGAGGGAGCCTGAAGGTTGGAGCTCTGGGCGGGGAGCCGTCAGGCCGGATGTAGTCTCCTTCAGGGTAGAAACCAGGACTGAAAGGGAATTTTCCCCTGTTAGGAAATCAAACACCCAAAAATAATTTAGGGTCTCAGAAACCATCTCCTTTATCCTCACCTGAACTCAGACCCACGATAGGCTTCATCCGGTGGGCCGAAGGAGGACGGGGTTCTTCCCCTGATCCCTGACCTGCTGCCCCCTACATAATCTTCATAATCAAGAGGATCATATTCTCTCTCAGGAAGCGGCTCTGGAGGGAAGTACTCCGGACTATATGGAGGAGCTGGAAAGATGAGGAGAGGAGCCACATATTATCCCTCTGCTGACATGCTGCTGCTGGACTGAGGAACATTTGTGCAAAACCTGAAGGTTTTTGTTGAGGAGGCCGGGTTTAAAGCAATACTGTTGAATTTTAAGCCACAAGGGGCACTAGAGCTGTAACTTCCAGTTTTAGTACCTCTTAAAGCAACTGGACAGATGGCGCTGTCGCAACATGAACCAGCTTTCTTCTCCGTTTTTGAATCTGACAGAAGATAGATAGATAGATAGATAGATAGATAGATAGATAGATAGATAGATAGATAGATAGAAAGAGGAAATAGAGGGAAAGAGAGAGAGAAAGAGAGGCAGAGAGAGAGTATATATATATATATATGTATATACACTCACCGGCCACTTTATTAGGTACACCTGTCCAACTGCTCGTTAACACTTAATTTCTAAGCAGCCAATCACATGGCGGCAACTCAGTGCATTTAGGCATGTAGACATGGTCAAGACAATCTCCTGCAGTTCAAACCGAGCATCAGTATCGGGAAGAAAGGTGATTTGAGTGACTTTGAACGTGGCATGATTGTTGGTGCCAGAAGGGCTGGTCTGAGTATTTCAGAAACTGCTGATCTACTGGGATTTTCACGCACAACCATCTCTAGGGTTTACAGAGAATGGTCCAAAAAAGAAAAAACATCCTGTGAGCGGCAGTTCTGTGGGCGGAAATGCCTTGTTGATGCCAGAGGTCAGAGGAGAATGGCCAGACTGGTTCGAGCTGATAGAAGGGCAACAGTGACTCAAATAACCACCCGTTACAACCAAGGTGGGCAGAAGAGCATCTCTGAACGCACAGTACGTCGAACTTTGAGGCAGATGGGCTACAGCAGCAGAAGACCACACCGGGTGCCACTCCTTTCAGCTAAGAACAGGAAACTGAGGCTACAATTTGCACAAGCTCATCGAAATTGGACAGTAGAAGATTGGAAAAACGTTGCCTGGTCTGATGAGTCTGATGGCGTCTTCAACATGAAAGCATGGATCCATCCTGCCTTGTATCAACGGTTCAGGCTGGTGGTGGTGATGTCATGGTGTGGGGAATATTTTCTTGGCACTCTTTGGGCCCCTTGGTACCAATTGAGCATCGTTGCAACGCCACAGCCTACCTGAGTATTGTTGCTGTCCCTGTCCATCCCTTTATGACCACAATGTACCCAACTTCTGATGGCTACTTTCAGCAGGATAATGCGCCATGTCATAAAGCTGGAATCATCTCAGACTGGTTTCTTGAACATGACAATGAGTTCACTGTACTCAAATGGCCTCCACAGTCACCAGATCTCAATCTAATAGAGCATCTTTGGGATGTGGTGGAACGGGAGATTCGCATCATGGATGTGCAGCTGACAAATCTGCGGCAACTGTGTGATGCCATCATGTCAATATGGACCAAACTCCCTGAGGAATGCTTCCAGCACCTTGTTGAATCTATGCCACGAAGAATTGAGGCAGTTCTGAAAGCAAAAGGGGGTCCAACCCGTTACTAGCATGGGGTACCTAATAAAGTGGCCGGTGAGTGTATATATATATATATATATATATATATATATATATATATATATATATATATATATATATATATATATATATATATATATATATATATGTATACACACTCTATATAGTGTATATTTACTATAACCTTTTGCTACTGTAAACGCCACAATTTCCCTATTGTGGGACAATAAAGGGATTTTCTATTCTATTCTATCCATCTTCCATCACTCTTATCCCAAGCAGGGTCATGAAGGGTGCTGGTGCCTATCTCCAGGTGTCTACGGGCAAGAAGTGGGGTCCACCCTGGACAGGTCGCCAGTCCATCGCAGGGCAACACAGAGACAAAAAAAACAAACAAACATTCACGCACACACTCACACCTAAGGAGAATTTAGAGAAGCCAATTAACCCAACAGTCATGTTTTTGGACTGTGGGAGGAAGCCAGAGTACCTGGAGAGAACCCACGCAGGTAGAACTTGCAAACTCCAAGCAGAAAGACCCCGGGCCGGGAATCGAAGCCGGAACTTTCTTGTGGCAAGGCGGCAGTGCTACCCGCTGCTCCACTGAGCAGCATTCTATTCTATTCTAAATCCTACATCAAATGAAAAAAAGAACCAGTGTGTTAAAATCCAGTCCAGGATTGGAACCAGAGACAGTTCAAAAGTTTAAATCTCATGTTTACTTCGTCAGCACAGCCAAGAGTGTAAACAGGCATATCTTTAAGAATATTCTTCATAGGGTTAGCCTGACGAATTTAGAAGAAATACTTTTACTGCAGAAGAATGAGGCAAGTCAAGTTCTTTTATATTTCTGGTAAATGAGCAGAGGTGTCAAGTAACGAAATACAAATACTTTGTTACAGTACTTAAGTACACTTTTTAGGTATCTATACTTTACTTCATTACTTATTTTTCTTCCTACTTCTGACTTCTACTCATTACATTTTCACACAAGTATTTGTACTTTCTTTTCCATAAATTTTTAAAACAAACATTACTTGTTACTCTTGCTTCAGTTTAAAGTTTATAAATATTTATTTCACATCAATGTAGATCATGGTCGCCATCCATATCTAGTGAAAACTAGATGTTGATGTCGAAATGTCGGACACAGGTGAGAGCGTATCGGGAGACGGAGACCAACAAGACCTCCCTCATCCTTGGCCCTATCTCAAAGAATTTTTCAAAATAGTCGAAAAGTTGAGATTTCAATTCATATAGTGGCAGGTACTTTACACTTTAAGTAGTTTTTTGGAGCACATACTTTTCACTTTTACTTGCTTAAAGAGGTCAAGTTGACCTCTTCTACCAGAGTGTTTTTAAACTACAATATCTATACTTCCACTTAAGTAACAAAATTACAGTGTGTACTTTTGACACCACTGTAAATGAGTATCTCTGAAACTCTATGAGGTTTTTACCTCAATAAAATAATAAGACTGGATAAATAAAGAAAAGCCTCTCAGTTCCCCTTATATAGCATAAGACAGACAGAGGTGCAGCTTTGAGTAGGTATTCATAAAGCATTTATATTTAGATATTGCTAACAACAATAATTTCTATATTATTGTTGTTTATGCTCTTTAACAGTGACTGTGAGGGCAGCTTATGCTCATAATGACTTCACTAAAATACATTAATTTCTTATTTTAAGATACATTTTTTAGTTAGAGTGAAAATTTAAAATCTCAGAGTGGTCAGATAAATATTGGCCAAACTGATCAGAAAGTAGGTCAAGGAGTCAGTTTTAGTTTCAGTCTCGAGCATCTAGCATGGCAGCACCTCTGTTAAATGGCCTGTATTTATATAGCGCCTTTATTCAAGTCAGGAGACTTAACCAAAGCGTTTTACACTACATTCATTCACCCATTCACGCACACACTTATACACTGATGGTGGCAAGCTACATTGTAGCCACAGCTGCCCTGGGGCTCACTGACAGAAGCGGGGCTGCCCTACACTGGCGCCACCAGGCCCTCTGACCACCATCAGTAGACAATGCAGGTGAAGTGTCTTGCCCAAGAACACAATGACACTGAAAGTCGGAGTCGGGGCTTGAACCGTCAATCCTTCCATTTCAGGGCAAACTCCTACATCCAACGCCACTGTCGCCCTGTTAGAACAGGTACAGCTTCTGTGTAGCACGCTGTGAGATGCAGGAGTGTAATTATTCTGTGGTAGGACATCTTTCACCAAAACAAACAGTCTGATGGTTCATGATCATGTTATCCATACTGCTCCTACCTCCTCGTCCTGGTCCGGTTTCTGATCTGTCCTGGAACCTTCCTGGGAACCTTCCAGGGGAATGTGAAATGCACAGAGTGGCGTAGTCATCTGCAGAGAGAAAGAAAGGAAACCAACCTCTTACCTCAATGTGACCTTACTGGTTCTCTAGGAGATATGATGTGGTTTGACCATCTGAGGAACATTGAGGTGTGGTTCACTGATTACCTTGGCTTTACATTAGACCCAAGTTCACCATTGTTGCTTTTGTTGTTTGCCTGTGATTCTATAGCCCCTCTTACAGTACCCCTATGAAACCATTCCGTGCCGAGTTTGGACTAAGTTTGGATCCGTCAACCATGCCAAGCTCGATTCCTTATGACCGTTTACACACCACTCTAGAACGGTTCCTCAAATCCTAGTCACGATCTACGGTACTACTGCTCTATAGAGGGAATCAAGCAAATCAACATGGCGGCAACTGTGACATTCAGAAAGTTTGGTTATTATTGTGATATTTCGTTGTTTCCAGAGAGTCAGGCAAATAAGGCAGCCTTTGGTGAATTTACTTGACAGAGTTGGCTTTTGGGAAGTGGATACGACAAATGATCAGGGCTTACAGACGCAGGAAAAAAAAACAGACGTTGAGGTTCATTACACTACTAAGCAGAATCATCACTGGAAATCATGTGGCATGTAAGGAAGCTAGTATTTTATGAATGTCTGAAATTTCATGATTATGGAGGCTGACAGTAAGGAGATGAGACGGGCTGCTCATGCGCTCTTTGTTATATGAGCACTGAAGGCCTGGTTATACTCCTACAGCAGGAGTATAACCAGGCCTTCAGTGCCATTTACACTCAACAGTTATCTCGGTTACCATGCTTGCACCAATCTCAGCACGGTTTCAAAAAGGTCTTGTAAATGGGGCTTAGGTTTACCTTAAGCATTGTCATAGTTTACCTGAGTCAGTGCGGGGGCAGAGGGCACAGCCCATTCCCCAGCCCTGCCCGTATAAGCAGCAGCAGTCGCTGAATGTGACTTGACCTCCGAGAAGAGGACTCTGACACAGCATGTCGGTGCTAACATGCTGCCAGCACACGGACAGGTTCTCATCTGGAAGGAGCAAGGAACAAAAAATCCGATCAGTCGATATGCAGATGATGTGCCGGTGTTTTTTTTGACTAATTTAAGTGTCATTTGTGGCTGTTTTTTGTCACATTGGGGCAGTAAATCACACAGGTCTGCAGGGGAGAGGAAGGCTTACCTACAGTAAGGTGGGAGGCGTTCACACAGTTTCTCTGAGTGTCGTCCAGGACCAGCGGAGGAGCACAGCTGCAGTGATACGAACCAACAGTGTTCACACACACACCTCCAACACAGGTCTCCTCCTCACACTCATCATAATCTGAAATATGAAGACTGGTCAGCAGCAGCAGGATTTCAGGAAGATCTGCAGCCAATGGGCTCTATTCCTACCGACACACTCCAGTAGGGCGCTGTTGTAAATAAAACCACTGGAGCAGTAGCATCTGTATCCTGGGATGTTGTTGACACATACTCCATTCTTACACACCTCCGGATGGAAACGCTTGCACTCGTCCACATCTGGAGACAGACAGATGATCACAAAACCTCTGTATATCTGCTGCTTTATTGGTCAGAAAAAAGGCTTCAGAGCATAGGGTGTCACAACCTCCAGGCAGCTCTGTACCTGAGTAGCCGAAGGCTCCCGCTCCCGCTGTCACATACCCTCTCCCGCTGGGGCACAGGGACAGAAACTCGGCTGAAACACAGGAACATCAACTGTAAGACCTGTAATAATGACTGCAATATGCTTCAGTTTCTGGAAGTCTCACGTGTGTCTTCAGGAGGACAGGTAAGATACTGGCAGCCCAGCCCCCAACCCTCCCCCATGGTGCAACAGCACTCCTGCTGGCTGATGTTGGCGGTCAGCCGGCTGCAGGAAGCTTGTTCATGCAGGTTGTAGTAACAGTCCCTCAGCTCTCCGGGTCGGGCTGCTGGAAGCACAGGGAGCTGAGGGGCCGAGGATGGCTGCAGCTCCACAGCAACGTCCACTGTTCTGACTTCAAAGCCAGAAGAAGCAGAGGAATAGTGTCTCGACTCAAGATCTGTCCTGGATGCTAAAAAAGCAGAAAGAAACCCTAGAGCTATGCTGTTGTAAACTAAAAGTGCTATTTTAATTTGTTATGGGGCAAATTATATATAAACATTAAGACTCCAGTTAAACTTTTATCAATAAAACTTTTGATTTTCACAGTAACATTTTGTTTTCAGTGCAATTATCGGCAATCGCAGACAAAAGACAATGACTGTCGGAAAATCGTAGTGGGAAAAAAATTTCAATGATCAAAATTGACCTGTGGGGAATATCTGACCGTGTCTGAAAATCCCACAGTGTGACAGCTGCTACGACCTCTGTCTAATGATCAGCCAAATGGAAATGAAGCTGCTGCTTTCAAAGATCTTCTAAAGAAGAGTAAAGCAAGGTGAGCTAGTTCCAGGATTGTTTTTATAATCCTCAGAAGAGAAGCATTTAAATAGGGCAACAAGTTTATTGTTAGGATTATTATTATTGATGATGTGTGAGTCTGTTGAACCCCAATAGTACCTGACTGTTGCATGGCCAAAATAATGTTTTCTCAAGTAGTTTATCAAACAGGGACAGCTACTCTGTCAGGATTAAAGGTGTGGTCGGAAAATTGAGATTTATCCAGTGAAAAATTTTTTTACTCAGTCTGTTTCGCCTGCAAGGCCACAAAATGTCTGACTCACAAGTGTTTTGCATACAAGGAATACTTATTCCATAACAAGCCAAATTCTTTCTCAAGACTTGTTATTGTTTAACCATAGTGTGTAATTCGCTTTGACTCTGACACATCATCAGAACAGAACAGGGCTGATTACTGTATCATATGATGAACTATTCTCTCTTTGCAAAGATATAAAAATAAAGTGCCGATGGATTTGACTCAGTCAGCAGACATTTATGATGTAAAGATGTGGATATGTGGGAGAATGGAGTTGTATAAATACTTCTTTAACTGTGATTCGAGGCTACTTCATGAGATGTGAGCCTGGTTGGTAAGCACTGGCTTCTGTAACCCTAACTTCTCTGGTCTGAGTAAGATCACAATTGATGTCAAAATCTGTTGTCATGTTAATTAATAAAGTGTTATTTAAATAGTTTGTCTCAAGTGATCTCATCTCAGGAAAATAACAGAAGAGAGAAAGCTTCAAGTTGTAAACACAGAGCTTTCCATAACAGTATCATACTATATCAAGTGAGATACCGTATATCACTTTACTCTATATCATAAAGTAAACATGCTAACTGCTAATAACTGAGTTGCCTATTGAATGTAAAGTTGTCACGTTTTCTTGTTGTAGTATTAACACAAAAAATATATATACCAGTTATGTTGTCTGTAATGTTAATAAAAGGACATTTAAGGTTTTTTCCACTTTCTTCTGGTTCTGTAACACAACCGGAAGAAATTACACAGAGAAGAGTTTCCGCAGATGAGGAGCAAAGGAGGGTCCACAGGTTCAAAATAATTCTGCCCCAAAAATAAAAAAAAAATAGAATAACACATTTTGAAGTTCTTAATCAATTCCTGTCATGCTTAGCCTGTCATTTTGCTCCAATCAGAGTAAACGACCAGTGCTGCCTCTAAAATCAGTAGAAATGAATGCACACAGGGTAAACGTTATGGCAACTTTAAAAATCACATAAGAAGAAAAAAGGTGGTGGATTATGGGGCGCCGTTTGTAAAGATAAGCAGTCAAAACTAAGGAGCAATATTTATGGTTATTTAGCGTATTTTAAGAGAAAAACTAAGGGTTTATTTTTTTCCAAGTCATTTTTCACTATTTCATTCATTTGTCTATAAAAAATCTTACTTTGTTAAATAATTATTTATTTTGGAGCTAAATATTTAGTTTGCTAATTAAATATTTAGTTTGTTAAATAAATATTTAGCTCCAAACTTAATATTTATTTAATAAAGTAAATATTTTATTTGCAAACTAAATATTTAGCCCAGAACTAAATACTGTATATATTTAACAAACTAAATATTTAGCTAATATGGAAATTCACTTGCCAAAAAGCGGAAGTGAACTACCAAAATAAAAGCCTGGGAATCTCTAGCAAGCACCAAGCTAAATTTTTATTTTGTTGAATAAATACTAAATTTGGATCAAAATATTTATTTCACAAACTAAATATTTAATTTGGACCTAAATACTTATTTAACAAACTAAATATTTAATTTGCATATTACATATTTAGCTCCAAACTAAATATTTATTTAACAAAGTAAGATTTTTTATAAATGAATGAATGATATAGTGGAAAAATGACTTGGGAATTTTGTTTTCTTTTTTTCTCTTAAAATCTGCTAAATAAGCACAGATATTGCTCCTAAATTTTGAATGCTTAACTTTACCAATGGCGCCCCATAGTTAATAGTGGAGTACTGTTTTGGCTGCTGACTTTTCTTAATGTAACAATGGTGAGGTATGGCTGTTATTCAGAGTCGCCTCAAGCAACAGTTGAACCTCGTTGTCTCTCTATAGGAGAAAATGATTTACTGGCATCTCTAGCATTTATTAGTTGTGTGGATGTTTAGGCAGTATGCGTGTTTATCTTGAGTTTAAAAGAACACAGCACCAATAGAGGGGATGCATGGGAATTAAGCCACAATTACAATATCGCCATGTAACAAAACAAACATCCAGGTTTTAGTGGATCTTCGTCGTGTAAACGGGCCCAGACTGAAGCTGTGGGGGTCAACAGGAAAGGAGGGAATCACCATCGCAACAAGAATTTAGCATCTTCTCCCTTTTGAAAGCAGCAAATAATATTTTAAATTGTTCATAGTACTGGACATGATTAACAAAAAAAATCAATGAAGGACACAGATGAGTGTTGAGCTGAAAGGTTAAAGCATTTCTCTTGGGTATGTCTGTTGAAGGATGTGTGAATTTGTGTTTGTTACCTGTTCCCACAGAGCTTAGACACTGTCTGGTTGAAGAGTCAAAGATGTCTGCTGCTCCATCACATTTACACGTAAAGCTTCCCTTGGTGTTCTCACAACGAGCAGAACCACAGACACCTGGCTGAGACACACACTCGTCCTCATCTGAGAGATGAAAACCCAGCCATGTCATGTGTGCTCCCATAAGTAACCTCAGATCCATCATTTGAGCAGCTGAAAACAAACCAAGCAACGACTCTGATGTAGTTCATCCTTTAGGTTTTTTTGTAGACTCACCTACACAGCTGCCATCAGGAGCCACCTGATAACCTGCCTGACAGGAAGCAAGACAGCGGTATGATCCAATCGTATTCTCACATCGCTGCGACACACAAACAGAACTACTGGCAGAGGCACACTCATCCACATCTGGGAACATAGACAGGCAGAGAGCAAGTTTAAACAAGAACAAAGACATCATCTGATGGGACTTAGAACTTTTTGTGCAAGGGTTTACCGAGGCAGGCGGTCTTCTCAGGGTTGGTGATGAAGCCAGTTTTACACTGACACTGGAAGGAACCTTCAGTATTGACACAACGACCATCCGAACAAACACCAGACCTCATGCACTCATCCACATCTACAAAGAGGAAATAACAAAAAATCCTGGGTTTGGTTTGGTTAGGATGGATGGATGGAGGGACGGACAGACGGCCGGACAGACAGACAGACAGACAAGGCATTTAGTAAGGTAGAGCAAATCAATTGTTGATAAAGATAATGTCAAGTAAGGTAAATACATGGATGATTTAAGGTACTGTAAATAAAGTAAACTGATGGATGGATGAAGGATCTCGTTCTTTTGGTCATGATCCATATTTCATGAGCATAAGTGATGGTAGCGTTGTTGACTGACGGGTAAATTGGGAGCTTTTCCTTTGCTTGCTTAGCTCTCACTTTATAAAAACAGAGAGATAAAGTGTCTATAAAACATCAGCAGCAGCACCAGCAGCATAGATCCATCTATTGATCTCTCGCTCCATTTTCGCCTGACTCGTGAACAAGATTCAAAGATACTTGAACTACTCCATAAAGGCTATGAACAGGACCGGTTACAAAGGGCAGCCCTGTTGGAATCCAACATGCACCTGACACAGGTCCGACTTAATGCTGGCAATGTAGACCAAGCTTCTGCTATATTTGTACAGAGACAGGATGGCCCAAAGTAGAGGGCCCCTAACTGCATACCACTGAAGTGCCCCCCACAAGGAACCACAAGGGACAAGGTTAAATTCCTTCTCAAGGTCCACAAAACACATGTTGGCCAGTTTGTCAAACTCCCAAAACACTCATACCCTGCAGAGAGTATAGAGCTTGTCCAATGTTCCAAGGGCGGGACAAAAACCAAACTGCTTCTTCTGAAGCCAAAGTTTAACAATCAGTTGGACTCTTCTTTGCAGCACCCTGGCATAGGCCTTCACAGGGAGAATGAAAAGCGTAATCATCCTATAGTTGAAACCCACCAAGTCCCACGTCTTATTGAGAGGAACCATCCCCCCAGTGCCAGTTTAGGGGCACTCTACCCAACCTCCATATGATGTTGAAATTCGCGTGTCAGCCAAGACATCCCGACAACATCCATAGCTCCAAGGTACTCAGGGCTGATCTCGTCCACCCCAAAGCCTTTCCACTGTGGAGCTTTTTAACCACCTCAGTGACTTCAGCCTGGGTGATGAATGAATAAATCCTGAGAACCCCATTTCTTCTTCCACCACTGTTCAACAATATAAATTTTAGGGTCAGCAACTCTCCACTTCAACTGAAAACGGTATTAGCAAAGCACTACATTCCCCTCCGGAGGTGCTGCACGGTTTGCCAGAAAGGCTGTGAGGCCAACCGATAGTCTTTTTCTGTCGCCTCTCTAAGCTCCTCCTAGTTTTTGCCTCAGCAACCGCACGGTCAGTGGAATGCTTGGCCTCATAATACCTGCTTGCTGCCTCAGGAGGCCCACAAGCTCGATAGGACTCCTTCTTCAGCTTGTCAGCATCCCTTACTGCTGTTGTCAACCACCAGGTTCGGGGATTGCCCCCACGACAGGAACAGCAGACCTTATGGGTTTCCCACATGGGCGTTGAAGTTAGCGTTAGAGTGATGGAATCTCCAGACCCATCTGCTAGAGCTTGTTTGCATTGGGAGACCCTACCACAGGCATTAAAGCCTCTGGAAACATCCAGGCACTGAAACCTCTCCACCACTTTAAGGTGGCAGTTCAAGAAGAAGTTAAGATCAGAAAAGTAAATTGATTGATGAATGAAGGTAAGTCAGGGTAAAATAAAGTACAATGATGGTTTGTTGAAGGTAAGGTATAGTAAACCAATGGATAGCTAACGTAAGGTAAAGTAAATTGATGGTTTGATGAATGTAAGGTAAGGTATGGTAATGAAAAGTAAAGTAAATCAGCGAATGAATGAAGGTAAGGTAAACTGATTGATAAATGAGGACAAGGTAAATAGATAGATGGATAAAGGTGAGGTAAGCTAAAAAAATGTAGGAAGGTAAGGTAAACTTAATCTATGCATGGATGAATGTAATGTAAGGTGAGGACAGATAAAGTAAACAGATTGTTGGGTAAAGGTAAGCTAAGGTACGGTAAGGTAAAGTTAAACGATGGAGTGTGAACTGTATTGTAATGTAAGGTAAGTTATCCTAATAATCATTTTTTTAGACCTTGGCAGGAAGCCTGTATTCTCTGAAAGAAACCATGCATGAATGGAGGGAGCATGAAAACGGCATGCAGACAGACCCTCGGCAGGGATCTTAACAAACTCGGTAGACCTTTCAGAAATATGGGTTTAGAGATCCAAAATAATTTGGACAAAACCTCACCGAGGCAGGCTGTCCTGTTTTCATTTAGTGTGAATCCAGGTGAGCATACACAGGTGTATGACCCAGGTGTGTTTACACACTCCCCTCTAGAGAAACAAAAGTCCCCTTCCAAACACTCGTTGACGTCTGCAAAGACAAAAATCATTGTTGGCTCACTTTCAAAGCTTATCTAGCTGCAGAAGATGTTTTAAAACCTTATCTACATTCCCCCATACCTCTGCACTGTCCTCCCAGGCCAAAGCGTCGGTATCCGGGACGACAGTCACATCTGAACGAGCCGACAGTGTTCACACATACCTGCTCTGCTTCACATGCTCCGGCACTCGCACACTCATCCACATCTACAGAACAAAATATTCTTTCATGAGTTTCATCTCATTTCAGACCCGTTCAGAGCTCCAAAACTTACAGCTCCAGCTCTAAATCTTGCATCAGTACATCTTCATGAAAGTTAAACTGAGCTTGCATTTATGTTTGCTGGTTTGATATGACTAAATGGTGATTTAGGTATCAAAAGTCAGGTCAGAACCTATATCACTCTGGTATTCATGGAAAAAACTCTGAAAAAATGTTTTTAAACCTTCTTTTATAAAAATCAAAAGAGCAAACATAAAACAGACTGACCATCATCAGATTTAATGTAAAAAAGGCAAGTATGCAACATGGGAAACCAAAGAATTTTTAAATTTTTTTTAAGTTTGCAAGTGTGTCTAAAAATCTGTCAGTTCAATTAAAATGTACACTTTAGTATCATCACCAAACAGTTTGAACTTTGAGGGTCCAAATATGGTTCTGGGTTCCTAATTGTAGGACAATGAAGGATTTTCTGTTTTATTCTATTCTATTCTAAATGAGGTGGCTAAGATGAAGAGTAAATGGAAGAATAACAATTTTAGAAAATCCAGTAAAGTTACAAATCATACACATAGAAACTTTATGTATAATTAATAATATGTATAATTTAGGCCATAAAGAAAAAACTAAAACTTATCATACAGCTTCTCCTTCTTATAGTCCTTAACACCAACAATCGTCCTGAATTATACTTTGAGTCCAAACTATTCTAATGTCCAATAAGTGAGCAAATAACTTAGTTGATGTACATATAAAGAATGAAAATATCAGAAATGAACCAAGTACTGGTCCTTGAGGTACACCAAAACTTAAAGAATTCAGGGAGATTATTGAGCATTTTGAGCTTAATAAATCACACATAAAGTTCAGTTACTGGTAAACACAAAGTGTAGATCAAAAGAAATAAAATCAAGTAATTTCTATCTACCATCAACTGGTCATTGGTTCTATAACACCCCAGTATGAAGGGCTCTAAACCATTCAAAACAATGAAATTCCCATGTTGCAATTTTTATAGTATGATAGATTTATGTCCCAAATTCTGATGCAATACACATAGCATTCCATTGTGCTGCTAGAGAAGACTCGTATTCTTTAATGCCCATATGTAGCCACTTAAGCCGCTATTACAACCACAACAATAGCACAAAAAAAAAAACTGCTCTAAGAATTTTGTCCACATAAACAGCTTTCAAACATATTCTCTTATAAACAGTGAAAAGTACTGAACCAGCACTGATGAATTGAACAGGGAGAGTATATATAGGAGACAGAACAAAGACTGGACTAATGAGCTGATTGGGAGCAGGTGTGGATGGAAGCATCTAGAAGGGAGCCAAGGGAAAGGAAACAAACACAAGGGGGCAACAGAGAGTAACTAAAAAAATAAAACATTGCTAGAAAACAACTACAAATACAAAGAAACTAAAAATACACTTTAACAGAGGGCAGATACCCTGACTGTCAGAGTGAATAAATGTTACTGCTGTTGGGGTGAGTAGCAGCCCTCATGAATGTGGAAGTCAGGTATGGTTGTGTTTCTTCATAACATTCCAAACTGGAATTGCTACTTTCTAGGGCATTCCAGCTGAAATCTCCTATTCACAGGTCAGATTTCTTCTTAAGAGTACAATTACTTCCACAGATGCTAGAAGCTGTCTTGACAACATAGCAACATAATACAATTGTATAACAAGCTTATCACATATTTGATTTGATATTTAAATTTTTTATGTACAAGGAGAGCATAAGAAAAGTATTTTGAAAGTTGTAAAATCCTCTAGGAATTCTAAGAAGTGTCAAGATATCTGTACCTATAACATCAATTATAATACCAGTTTGGACCCAGAAAATTTCTGTGGTTATACAGCTTTTATCAAAAATATGTTGGTCTCATTTGAAGTGACTTATTATCATAGCATGCTTGTGAGTGCGTACACACCTGTGCACTGTCTGTTGGTTAGCGTGTATCCTTGTCGACAAGACACACACCTGTAGGATCCCACAGAGTTCACACACATCTGTCCAGGACACTGAGACGGCTCAGCACACTCATCGACATCTGAACACACACAGCGGTCACAGATCACTGCTCAAATGGATAAGAGGTCCCAAAATCAGCATCAGGACCGAGGGATATGTACCCGTGCAGGTGTTGTTTTTGAGCCGGTAACCATTGAGACAAACACAGCGAAAACTTCCAGGTGTATTTTCACAGCGGCCATTGGAGCATGGAGACCGCCGACACTCATCAATGTCTGCAAAAAGGTGACAAAACAGAGAATCAGACCATTTTATCAGAACGGGCCCCAATCGGGTCGAGTCGGATCCAGTCGGAAGCAGACAAATGTTACCTGTACAGATCCCATTGAGCAACCCGAATCCTGCGTGGCAGGATGAGCAGCGATAAGAACCCAGAGTGTTAATACATTCCTGACCCGGGCACTGCAGAGGATCCACACACTCGTCCACATCTGAAAAACACAGGTATCAAACACACCTGTAGGATTTCCCCAAGTCAAAAAGTTAAGGTAAGGTACGGTTAAGGCAGGGTTGTCAAACTGTAGTCATTGAGGGCTGGTGTCCTGCAGCTTTTAGATCCGTTTCTGCTTCAACACACCTCAATTCAATTATTAGGTCACTAGCAGGATTTTGGACAACTGAGAAGATTCTTCTTCAGATAAGTCGGACCAGGGACACATCTAATATCTGCAGGACAATGTTCCTTAAGAAATGGAGCTTGACATCCCTGGGTTAAAGTAAAATAAGGTAAGGTAAGGCAAATCGATGATGGAGGAAGGTAAGGTAAGGTAGGTTTAGGTAAGGTACTGTAAGGTAGGCTAAGGTAAGGCAAGGTAGGGTAAGGAAAGGTAAGCTAGGGTAAGGCAAATCGATGATGGATGAAGGATAAGTAGGGTAGGGTAAGACAAGTTAGGGTAAGGTAAGGTAACATATGGTAGGCTAAAGTAAGGTAGGGAAAGGTAAGCTAGGCTAAGGTAAGGGCCACCGTACTACTGGCCTCTTGTAATAGAGCCAACTTTTCTTCCATACCTTCACAGGTGTTCCCAACGAACCTATAACCATGAGGACAGGCACACCTGTAGCTTCCTGCTGTGTTTTCACAGTGCCCATTAGTGCAGGGATTCTGCTGACACTCGTCCACATCTGAAACACATGCATATAATAATCACACCTGTAGGATTCGCAAAGAACATATTCTAGTGCAGAGTCTGTACGGGTCAGATTTTACAAAACTGTATCTGCCCGCAACCAGAGAGTTCAGGTTTGAGACTTGACCCAACTGGTGTTTATAAAGTGTACAGACAGCTGTTTTGGTGCTTAAACACCATGTGCTTTATTTTTCCAGCTGCAGCAGAATAATGGCTTAATATCAGAGACAGTAAAGAATATCGACTCACGCTCACATCCAGTTCGCACTGAGCTCACAGATTAACAACTGTAAATTGGCTGAATTAAGAAGGCTGCCTTGTAAAAAAGTACTGTTATCTGGATATTCTTGAATCAATTTACTTATAAGGATGTACAGTTTATAAATAGGAAAATATAAATTATAAGTTTAATTCATGCTGTAACTCTCTGTTTTATAAGGGTACCTGCGGGTACCCACGGGTACCTGACCCGGTGCAGGACTCTTTTTTTAGTAAAACCGAGAAGGACCGATGTAAACTTTAAGGTCTGTTAGTTTTTAGGGATCATTGGTTACTTTGCTGTTGCTAACAGGTCCTTTACCTTCACAGGTGTTCCCACTGAGCCTGTAACCACGATGACAGACACACCTGTAGCTTCCTGCTATATTTTCACAGCGGCCATTACTGCAGGGATTCTGTCGGCACCCGTCCTCATCTGAAACACACGCGGGTAAAAAACACACCTGTAGGATTCGCAAAGAGCGTGTTCCAGTGAAATCGAGAAGAACCAATGAAAATGGATCTTCGGTTACTTTGCTGATGCTAAGACATCCTTTACCTTCACAGGTGTTCCCAATGAGCCTGTAACCACGGTGACAGGCACACCTGTAGCTTCCTGCTGTGTTTTCACAGCGGCCATTAGTGCAGGGATTTTGCTGGCACTCGTCCACATCTAGATGCAAACAAAAATATAGTGTATGGATGTATGGATGAACCAATGGATGAATGAATGGATGAATGAATGGATGAATGAATGGATGAATGAATGGATAGGCCCTTTTCTTTCATGCAAAAAGAAAGCAGAGGCTTTGTTTTGTCATTCTCAAATATTGAATAATTAAAAAAAGTATATAATAAAAATAGAAATATCTTAATGATAATTTCTATAATGCTTAATTTCGAGACTACAAAAAATTATGACAAAGCAAAATGTTTAATCATTTAAAAAGAAAAGAACCGCAATAGTTGTGAATCCGATCTTCCCACCGTGACAGAGGGTTCCCTGATCGTTGAGCTGGTATCCCTCCTCGCACTCGCAGGTGTATTTCCCACCCGGTTGGTCCAGGCAGCGGCCCCGCCCACACACACCTGGCCTGCTCTGACACACACTACGAACAACTACACACACAAACATATATGACACATCATGTCAGGAATACAGAAAAATATGGTATCTTTTCATTGGAAAAAACTAAATAATATACATTTTACATTAAAATGTGAAACATTTGCCAAGATGAAGGCTGTTTGAAATTCTCTTCACCCTCTAAAAAAAAAAACTTTCAGTCAGGAATAAATCTCAGAGCGAAACTGTCTGGTCTGAAGAACAACCCAGAACTCAGGAGTTTAAAAACATAACACATGAACACATATGATGAAACTGAGACAGATTTGATGGATCTAGAGGTTCTACACACAGGCAAAGTTGATAGTACCCTTTATTTAATGACAGAAAAACCGACAAAGAATGACATGAATCTGACAAAAACTCTATGAAAATGAACAAATGAAAGTCATAGAATGTTTTTCAAACATGTTTCAATAACAAGTGCAGCTGTAGTCACAGGAATATCTAGCTGCTTGGTCTTTTAATCTTTATCTTTAACACACTTGTCCATAATTGTCTTTCTAATCTCCTGAGACAACTCTTTCCTTTGCTGCCTCTGGCCCATGTTGAGTGTGGTACACATCATGTCACCAAACAGCAGCATGACTGCAGACACTCTATTTGAGCTCAGAGCTTGTCTTCCTGGCAGTGTGATTCCTGGACGGGGCGCCTGTAAAGCTGGTTGACAGTTGCCTTTTGTATCTCTGCTTCTTTCTGTATCTCTGCTTCTGTCTCCTTGAACCCCAGTCGGCATTGGCAGATGGACGCTCACACTGAGCCTGGTTCTGCTGGAGGTTCTTCCTGTTAAAATGGAGTTTTCCTCTCCACTCTTGCTCCAAGAACCGAAGACAATCCCTCACATAAGCATGCTTGTAGCGACAGCAGAGAGCAAAAACTCCCCTTTAACAGGAAGAAACATCCAGCAGAAAAAGGCTCAGTGTGAGCGTCTATCTGCCGAGGCCGACTGGGGTTCAAGGAGACAGAAGCAGACAAAAAAAGAAGCAGATATACATAGATAGTTGAGCGGCATTGATACTTTTGTAGCACGCAAGATGGCCGGTGCAAAAAAAGGACTGATTGCCTTAGTCAAAAAAGAAATGATCCTTCTGAGTCTAGATCCAAATTACTTAATTGTATGTCACTGTGTTATACATCAAGAAAGTCTGTGTGCATGTTCCTGAAGCTAAACGATTCCGTCAGAAACTTCATCAAAAGCCAAGGGCTGAACAACCACCAGTTCAAAGAGTTGCTCCGTGAACTAGAGTCAGGGTACTGGGATCTGTTTTTTTATTGCGAGGTGCAATGGCTTAGTTGCACTAATATGCTCTCACTGATTTATGCTCTGAGGGGTAAGTCAACTACTTCATGGAGACGAAGGGAAAACCTGTGACAGAGCTCAGTGATGACAAGTGGCTCAGTGATCTTGCCTTCATGGTGGACATTACCATGCACCTGTGAGAGCTAAACACCAAGCTGCAAGGTCCCAACCAGCTCATCAGTTCTCTACTTTCAAATGTGAAATCATTTGAAGTTAAGTTAAGGCTATGGCAAGCACAACTGGAAAATGGAAACACTGTGTATTTTCCCACTCTACAAGAACAACAGGCTGATGTCACAACGGAGTATGCTTGTGAGTGTGCAAAACTCATTCAGGCATTTTATGAATGATTTTGTGGTGTGAAACATACACAAAGGGAACAGGACATGTTTGCTATGCCATTCAATGTGCAATCAGCTGATGTGCGAGAAAACCTCCCAATGGAAATGATTGAGCTGCAAAGCAACACAGCTAAGTGCGACAACCTTCCTCTAGTTTACTTTTAATAGCTGTATGTTGGTGCTAAGAATGTTCCCATTCTAAGGAGACATGGCCTGAAATATTAATCTCGGGTTGGGACATCATACTGCTATGAAGAGCTTTTTTCAAAAGTAACCCTTCGTCTTCCGTCTCTGCTCAAGGCTGACAGACCCAAATGTGGAAAACCAGCTTTGAGTCGCATCATCACCACCGGCAGCTGATCAGATGCTTCGCCAAAGACAAACAGTTCCAGCTATGGCATTAGGTGAGTCTGACATGCATAGAAATTATGACCCCCCCATCCTATCAGTCATACCTTTCTCTTGTAATGAACGCTAGAATTTATGTCATTAAAACTTTAAGGCTCTTGAAATACTTTATACAAAGGGAATTGGCCCTCAAGATGGAAAATGTTCCACAATCCTGTTCTAATAACATTTAAAATATACAAAAATATAAATATATAAAACTGAGAATAGGAGACTATGCGGTACTTTACAATGCAACTCAAATAGAATAGCATGACGAGATAACAGAGGAGGGCACGCTTATTTGTGCAAATAAACATTTCAACAGCAAGAGGGATGTGCACATTTATAAAGTCTGATCTGGTTCCGGACCAAATTCCAGCTGCCATTTCCTGTACTCACTCTGGACTCTGCTTGGACGTCTCGTTGGGACCACAGCCGGTTGTCTCTCTGGGACAGGGAGCTCTCCACCAGGTCTGGATCCACGCTCTGAGGTCTGAGGCGGCAGAGAGTCTCCTCGTCCTGGTGACGGGTCGGATTGGGATCCAGTGGAAGGCTGATTGGCAGCTGATATTAAAAAAATAATGTGATGAACCACATCAGATCCACTATCTGAACATGGCTGAACAAACATTACCTTGATTATCACTTGAGAAAAGCTTTGGTCTGGCTGGAGGTGGGTTGGACCGTCCCTGTTCGGTGTCCAGTCTCTCCTGGGAGGCCCTGGCTGCAGAGCTGGCAGGCTGCGCTAGTCTGGAAGACGAGGAACCGGCATTCAGGCCAGGCTGAGGCGAATTGGGTCTGGTAGAAAATGGTGAACCAGAGAAGCTGGGTCTCTGCAGAGAGTGAGAGGTTCCACCACCTCTGGACCCTGGAACCAGAAGACACAGGTTTGTTTTTGGTTTGCATTGGAGGTCTGGACACCTGAGATCAATAGACTCTTTAGAATCAGCCTAAATAACCTGAGGAAAGCTGTGAATCTGGACCCGTGTTGTCCTGGGATGTTGGCAGGGATCCTCGCCCTGCCTGCTCAGCATCAGCTCTTTGAGTGAACTGCAGAGTGGATGCTGAATAATGATAACCAGGACCGGCTGGACAGATCTCTTTAAAGGTAACTGCAAAAAAGAACAAACAGCAGAATGACAAGAAACTGGGCTGAACAGAACAATATGAAGAACTGCTAAAAACAAACTTCTGCAAGACAGCAAACAAAAAAACAAAACCCACCTGAACCAAAGTAAGGACATCTCTGGCAGTCTGGTCCCCAGGCTTTACCGACTCGGCTGCAGCAGCAGATTTGCTTGGTGATGTTTCGAGCTATGGGCAAGGAGCAGGAAGATGGACCCAGACCTGCGCCCACGACTCTGTAACACTGACCCTTCTCCTCTGATATCACACTTTGTGCTGAGGAGGACAAACAGAGACAGAGACATGTTAGAAAAGTGAAGCTTTGATATTCCAAACAGAGGAGAGATATGCAGTCAGATTGCTGCATGCAAAACGAGAACATGCTGATCTCTGGTCAGCATAGACACAGAAAGCCTGATTACAAGGATAACAAGCTCCAAAGACCAGCTATTGGTGCTGTCACAGTGTAAGGGAGGATGCAAGACCAGAACCAGGGCTGAGACACAGCTGTTAGGTAGAGGACAGTTCAGAACCCAAACACGAGACATCTGCCGTTTCCTCATAAAATGCAGAGGGCAAATGTCATTGCAATGCACATTGATTATCATTTTAGATCAATTTGAGTGTTCAATGCTTGGTTGGACCGCTCAAGATCTACCCAGAACGCCCAATGGGCGCTTCACTGTGGCTCTATATCCTAAAAAACTTTACTTTTGGCAAAGCACTGGAACAATCGAAATCTAGATAAGTCACAAGACAATTTACACTTAAAATAAGAAAACACAACTGCATTGTCTTATTTCAAGTGCATATTATCTAATTATCTTATTTTAAGAGTAAAAATACTCATTCCATTGGCAAATTACCTCATTTACCTACTCAAATTAAGGATTAATACACTTAATTTAAGAAAATGTTTATTATTTCAAGATCGTTTTTCCACTGTACTAGTTAGAGTGGCTCAGATAGTCTGGAGCGACATCTTTAGTAATGCTGCTAAAGACTTAGGCTGCTGGAGGACATAAAAGAAATCTTTCCCTGACTCGGCTACATTGAAAAAGCCTTTCCTACCCCCATGTATACGTATGTTCAACGTTTACCATGCCATAGTCTGCTGCAGGCTCAGTGCTTACTACATCCGCTAAGCTGTGCTTCTTTAAATGAGCCTCCAATAGACCTTCCACTCAAGGAACCTCGTCCTCTTCTCCAGAAGAAAAACGCACAGGTAACTAACAGCTTTAGCATGTTTTTTTTGTTTAATCCGTCCTTGCAACCTCACTGGTTCTAGCTCTGGGAGAGGTTTCTTCCTGTTCGAAGGAACTTTCCACCATCGCCATATGCTTGGTCAGGATGAGGGATTGACTAAATGCACTATGCTAAACCTTTTATCATTTTATTATAAATTAGCTTATTTAAACTAAATATCCATTTTGTGTCAGATTGTTTTGTCTATTTCTGGTATTTCTGGATAACAGATGGGTCCCTTTTTCCTGTCAAGTGACTTGAAAAAAGGAATTTTCTTAATAATAAAATATAATGATTGGAACATGTTTGTTGACAGTGTTCTGTTGGCCCCTAATGGGTCTTCTAGGGACAAATTAGCATGGCAGTTGTGATCTGTATGTCAATGGTCAACGTTACTGTGTGGTTTGTATGTTAAGAAACTTGTTCTGGTAAAAAGTCTGAAAAAAAAGTAATAGAAATGAAAGTAATGACAGGTAAAAGTCTCAAACACATAGATGCTGTTAATAAACCAGCTCGTAGCTGTGAGTAGAACGATGCAATGAGAAGCAGCCAGACCAGCATCCTTCAGCTCCTTTCTCCTCGGTCAATCCGGAGAATGCCGGTCGGAATGACTGAACCCCAGTCAGGCTTTTCAGAAACAACCTGAACGCCTTCAATAAGATCATCTGACTCACACAGAACCAAAGCCCCATGTGATTTTCCTGACAGTGTGAGGAGCAAATCTTTGCATTACAGCTGTAGAAATAACTCCCAGATGTGCAAAGTTGCCTGAATTTAAGCTGGATTCTGGAAATCCTGACCGGAGTTGCGTTATTCCTCTTATCTGGCCGGCGGCGGATTGTGTTTATCATGCGTGTGTGCTACTTACATATGCAGATTCCATGTGTGGCATCGAGGATGAACCCCAAGCAACACACACAGCTATAGCTCCCCATGGTGTTCACACAGAGGCCGTTCTCACACAGCCCCGGCTGGTGGCACTCATTCACATCTACACACATCAGCACATGCACACATGAATGATGGCAGGATTTCTCTTTGACTCAAAGCCATTGAAGACCAGAGGAGGTCTGCCTCAAACCCAAAGGATGCCAAAGGTCCAAACATTGGAAGCTGATTTTACGAGCATAACAGAATGAAACTGGTTTTCTGCATTAGGAATGATCTGCAGATCAAAATCTCTTAATTAAACCATTTTTGGATTTTATTCAATAATAACGTCCAACCCCCAAGGCCTTCAGACTGAAATGCCATTTTTTGGGGGGGGGGAAATCATGAAAGAGTTTTGTAAAAATATTGTTTGTTTATTGGAAAACATTAACCCTTTATAGGGCACGTTACCATTTTTAATCACTTGCATACCCCTTACAAATGGAGTCCCTCCGTCCCTCAGTGAGCTCTAGAAGCACAAGATCTATATCCAGCCATTCAGCAAAGACACTGCTAGATGGCTGTACATCTTATTTTGGCATTTGACCAATTAGATGAGCCCTTGAATGATAAATTACCTACTGTAAATTAAGTTGGAAAAAAAGGTAAAAAGTTCATTTGAAAGTTCAAAATACAAGAAAAAAAGGTAAAAAGCTAATTAAAGTTAAAAAGTCAAGAAAAAAAGGTAAACAGCTAATTAAAAAGTTAAAAAGTCAAGAAAAAAAGTTAAAAAGCTAATTTAAAAGTTGAAAAGTCAAGAAAAAAAAGGTAAAAAGCTAATTAAAAAGTTAAAAAGTCAAGAAAAAAAGGTAAAAAGCTAATTAAAAAGTTAAGTCAAGAAAAAAAGGTAAAAAGCAAACAAAAGAGTTAAAAAGTCAAGAAAAAAAGGTAAAAATCTAGTTAAACTGTTAAAAAGTCAAGAAAAAAAGTTAAAAAGCTAATTAAAACGTTAAAAAGTCAAGAAAAAAAGTTAAAAAGCTAATTAAAAAGTTAAAAAGTCAAGTAAAAAAGGTAAAAAGCTAATTAAACAGTTAAAAAGTCAAGTAAAAAAGTTACTAAGCTTAGTTAACAATTATATTTAGATTTATAAACTAAAAAAATTAAGTGCCAGTATCAGCATTAATGTCTCTAAGGTTATGTTGTACAAAACATTTTTTTCTTGCCCTCTCACAATGTTTTTCAAGAATTTCTTATAGAAGCAGTTTTGTTAATTTTCTTAATATATTCAATCAAGTCGGCATTTCTTGTTATTACATTGACATTCATTTTTGCCATCGAAATATCCATATTTTCTGAATGTTTTAAAGGTAATAAAGTCTTGTCCTGGATTCCAATAACACTATTGGCTGGAAATTTGGATTTTCAAAGGATTTCACTGAGGGCGCTATAAAGGGTTAACATTAGAAACAAATGTTTTTATTTCATTACTTGTCTCACCTAGTTTGGTAGTTATGTCATATTTTGTTACTCTGGAAGCCAACTGTAGATTACCGGTATCTATGAATTTCTCGGAGGATTATCAATAAAAAAAATTATAAAAGAGAATAAATATAATTGTAACCAATTGTCTTAAATATTAATAGCTTAATAGGGCTGTCTTTACATAGAACAGGCTGTGTTTACTTTACTTTGGTTTCATCAACCTTTTATATTGTTGTTATTATGTAGTTAAAATATAGCAATGCTGAAATATTCTAGCTTCCCCAAATCATATATTTGAGAGCAAGTTAACTAGATAAATTGATCTTGGGAGGAAAAGTTCTCATCCTCAGTAGCTAAGAGCCAGCGGCTCCACCTGGCGGCCATGTTTTACTCACCGACACACTGTGATCCATTAGCTGATCGCTGGAAGCCAACAGGACAGCTGTTGTTGCTTCGACCTGTAGTTGATTAATAACAGATCAGTTTAAAAAGGTCTTCCTTGATACAATGAAGAATTGTTAAAAATACATTTTCTTTATGCAAATTTTAAATCCTTTATTTGCTTAGTTATTGAACTCTGGTGATGGAGGACTTCTAAGCTAGCAATGACGTTAGCAATTTATCAACATTCTTTGATTCCCAAAGAAGGGGTCTGGACCCCCCGGGGGCCGCAAAACTATAAGCTAAGGGTCACAAGATATTTTTTACATTGTGATGTGATTCAAATATAACAGTAAAAATACCAATAAATTATAAAATGCAAAAAGAAATAAATATGCCATTAAATGATCAAAAATAGATTTAAAATAATCAACTGTTATTTAAAAACATTTTGTTAAAATGAACATAATTAGTTTACCGTATATCAATAGATTGATTTAAAGAAACATGTAAGGTACTTTTAGGGGTGGCTAGTTGGTGCCACAGTTATTTTCAGGGTCACAGGCAGAAAAGTTTGATAACCTCCACTCTTATGTAACATTTGTTTCATGTAAATGCTCAGATGAAACATTTAGTAGATTTATTAACAGAAAGTGAATAAAATCTGAGCTTTCTTTGCAGGCATGGTGCTTTATTGCACAGCTGATAGTGAACAGTTAGTTTGTACCTGGGGTTTCAGGACAGAGAGTGCAGTCGGTGAGGCCCCACGCCTTCCCACCTCCCCTACAGCACACCTCCCTGCTCCTCAAACCAGGGAGAGGAGAGCTGCACTGCAAATACATAAAAACAGTGAGCATAGATCACAGTTCAGTAATAATTGGCTTCAGAGGGGAAGTTATTTGGTTATTAATCCTCTCAGAAACAGAAATGCTGTTTTTGTTTTTTTCCCCCTATTGTTCCTCCAGATTGAAACAGCAGCTGTCACCTGCCTCCTCTCACCTGTCCATCTTTGACTTCTCTGAAGCAGTATTTGAAGTCAGACTGAAGGTTGTAAGTTCCACCGCCCCTCAAAGTCTGGGCCTGGATTCTTCCGGCACCTGCTGGAAGCAGAGCCGGAGCAGGAGCACCGGCCGAACCCGAAGAGGAGGAGGAGGAGAGGGACCGCAGGGAGGGAACGGAGCCAGAAACCTGGATCCACAGCGAGGAGACAAAGAGGAACCAAAACAAAGATGTGGAAACATTTATTTGAGCTTGTATAAAAAACAACCATAGTTCTAACAGAACAAATACAATACAAAACTATGGAGTAGATTTTGCTCCATTCTCCTTTTCAAAAACACCAAGATTTATTACTTTATTATCTGAGATCAATTTAATCCCATCTAGATGAAGTGATTGACTCATTTTTGATAATGGATTAAAAAATACACTTTATAATTCCTCTTTAATGATTCGATTTAAAAGGTGCAATTAGAAAATACTTTTAAATTAGATTTTAAATGGCCTGATTTAAATGCTAAATTGTAAAAGGAGATAAAAAACTCACTCCATACAAAGTAAAAAAAATATGTAATTAGAATACCTTAAATTAAACCAGAAAATTTCCAATATAATTCCAAAAATGTATTTCAAGAAAATATAAATTACATTTAAAAACAATAGTGTAATAGATAAATAACTAAATAAGAACTTAAATGACTAAATAGAGTAGGATATAAGGTTAATATAATTACATCAAAAATATTAAATAATATTGAATATGCAGAATAATAAAAAAAAAATTCAATTTTAATCTGATGGTTCATGGATGTACCTTCATCACCTGGTGGATCTTCACACTGGCCTCGGGGGGGTGCTGAACTCTGACCTTCACCATGCGGGGGTCTGACGCTTCTCATGTTTGTTAAAAAATTATCACAACAGAAACTGAAACTAAGTTTAAATATATTGAAGCAGAGAAATAACCTTAAATCATGTTTAAACAGTTGTGTTTTCCTATAAACCTAACAAAGTGAGTAGCAGTGGAACAACTGAGCTTCACCTGTGGACCGTGGCACCGCCCGGCTCTGCCCAAGTGGCAGCAGGAACTCTGACTGCATCAGCTCCTGATTGGCTGCCGTGGCAGAGAGCAGCAGAGGTTTGACCACCTCGTTGGCGTCTCCGGACCTGGCGGCTAAATGTGAGACAGGAATCTGGCAGAACTTTCCGGTAAAGTTTGCAGGACATAAGCAGCGATCCTTCTGCAGACAGAGGCCTCCGTTCTTACAGATCAGAGGACAGAGAACTAAGGAGTAAAAACATAAAACAGATTCTGCTCAATCTGCGTCTCTTTGGACATAAAGCAACAACAGAACCTCTTCCTCTGCAGCAACATTCTTTTAACATTCAAGCTGCTGATAATCAAACCACTAAAACTCAAACCTGATTAGTAAAAATTATTCAGAACATTTTATTGATCGAACTTTGTAATTTCCCAGAATTAAAATTGATGGCATCACATTTTATCACAATATATTGATTTGCTTTTATGACAGTTAAAGATACAAAAACAAATGAAGTCTAATCATATTTAAAAATATATTTTTTCTCACTACGCTGCTAAAAACTTTATATTTTAATAATTAATTTCAGACATAGTTGACTTTTAAACATAAATATAAAATCTTTAAAAAAGAGAAAACTAATTCTGTGAAATTAATGTTACTTTTACACAATCAGTCAAAGAGATTATAAAATATATATAAACATTAATAAAGGTATTTGTGAACAAACACTCAAAACTGTAAAGTGAAATAAATCAAAACATAAAAACAGATGAAACATATACACGTACATGTACATATATATATATATATATATACATATATATATACATATATACATATATATATATGCATATATATATATATATATATATACATATATATATATATACACATATATATATATATACACATATATATATATATATATATATATACATATATATATACATATATACATATATATATACATATATACATATATATATATATATATATATATATATATATATATATGCATATATATATATATACACATATATATATATATATATATATACATATATACAGGTGCTGGTCATAAAATTAGAATATCATGAAAAAGTAGATTGATTTCAGTAATTCCATTTAAAAAGTGAAACTTGTATATTATATTCATACATTACATACAAACTCATATATTTCAGATGTTTATTTTGTTTAATTTTGATGATTACAAATGACAACAAATGAAAATCTCAAATTCATCATATCAGAAAATTAGAATATTACTGAAGACCAATAAAAACAAAGGATTTATAGAAATGTTTGCCAACTGAAAAGTATGAACATGAAAAGTATGAGCATGTACAGCCCTCAGTATTTAGTTGGGCCTCCTTTGGCCTGTATTACTGCAGCAATGCGGCGTGGCATGGAGTCGATCAGTCTGTGGCACTGCTCAGGTGTTATGATAGCCCAGGTTGCTCTAATAGTGGCTTTTAGCTCTTCTGAATTGTTGGGTCTGGTGTATTGCATCTTCTTCTTCACAATACCCCATAGATTTTCTATGGGGTTAAGGTCAGGAGAGTTTGCTGGCCAATTAAGAACAGGGATACCATGGTCCTTCAACCAGGTACTGGTAGCTTTGGCACTGTGTGCAGGTGCCAAGTCCTGTTGGAAAATGAAATCTGCATCTCCAAAAAGTTGGTCAGCTGCAGGAAGCATGAAGTGCTCTAAAACTTCCTGGTATGTGGCTGCGTTGACCCTGGACCTCAGAAAACACAATGGACCAACACCAGCAGATGACATGGCACCCCAAACCATCACTGACTGTGGAAACTTTACACTGGACTTCAAGCAACGTGGATGAAGTGCCTCTCTTCTTTTCCTCCAGACTCTGGGACCTTGATTTCCAAAGGAAATGCAAAATTTACTTTCATCAGAGAACATGACTTTGGACCACTCACCAGCAGTCCAGTCCTGTTTCTCTTTAGCCCAGGCAAGACGCTTCTGACGCTGTCTGTGGTTCAAGAGTGGCTTGACACAAGGAATGCGACAGCAGAAACCCATGTCTTTCATACGTCTGTGTGTGGTGGTTCTTGAAGCACTCACTCCAGCTGCAGTCCACTCTTTGTGAATCTCCCCCACATTTTTGAATGGGTTTTGTTTCACAATCCTCTCCAGGGTGCGGTTATCTCTCTTGCTTGTACACTTTTTTCGACCACATCTTTTCCTTCCCTTCGCCTCTCTATTAATGTGCTTGGACACTGAGCTCTGTGAACAGCCAGCCTCTTTAGCGATGACCTTTTGTGTCTTGCCCCCCTTTTTGCAAGGTGTCGGGGTTTCCTTTTTGGACAACTGTCAAGTCAGCAGTCTTCCCCATGATTGTGTACCCTATAGAACTAGACTGAAAGACCATTTAAAGGCTTTTGCAGGGGGTTTGATTAATTGCTGATTAGAGTGTGGCACCAGGGGCCATCAATTTTGAACCTTTTTAAAAATTAAAATTTTTGTTGTTGATGAATTGAGATTTCATTTTGTTGTCATTGTATAAAAAAATTAAAAATAAATTTGAATATATAGTTTGTATTTTAAAGTATGATATAATATACAAATTTACTTTTAATGATATTACTGAAATAATTACTTTTTTGTATTCTAATTTTATGACAATTTTATAAATTTTTTTTACATATAAATATATAGAATATATATAAAATTAAAATATATTTAAAAAAAATAATAATTTATTATTATATATATATAAATTTTAAAAAATATAATAAAAAATAATTAATTAATGATAATATATAATAAAAAATTTAAAATATATATATACATATATATAATAATTAATATAATTTATATTGTATATAATATTTAGTACAATATTTTTATACATATATCAAATTTATATACTTTTTAAATTTTAATATAATTTTAACATATATCATATAATATTACTATTTAAAATATATATATAATAATTTATACATATATATATTAATATATATTTTTAAATATTATAATATAATATATTTAAAATTTTAAAATAAATATAATATATATATATTATATAAAATATATATATATACATTATATATAATAAAAAAATAATAATATATACATAATAATATTATATAAAAATATTTATATATATATAAAATATATAATATAAAAATAAAATAATATATATATAATATAATATTTTTTAAATATATATAAAAACAAAAAATATATATAAAAATATATATAATAAATAATATAATATAATAATACATATATATATACTAATACATATAAAAATATAAAATATTATATAATATAAAAATAAACATATCCCCATAATATACATAACTATATTTTAAAATATATTTTAGTATAATATATATAATAATAAATTTTTATAATATATAATATATTAAATATATATTATTATTTATATATATATTTTATATTTTAATATATTTTTATAATTTTATATTAATATATATATATATATATATATATATAAATATATAATATATATATTATATTAAAATTTAAAATAATAATTATATATATATAAAAATATAAAATAAAAAAATATATGACATATAATAAAATACCTAATTAAAATAAATTAAATTTTATTTTACATATTTTATAATACATATATAATATCAAATACATATTTTATAAATATTAATTATTATATAATATATATATATATTAATAATTTCATATATTTCATATATATAATATATATAATAATATGTATTATAATTACAAATATTAACAATAAAATAATTATATATATATATATATTTATTAAAAATAATATATATTTTAGAATAATATATAATATATTTTATTTATAGTATATATATAATAAAATAATAATATTTTAATAAAATATATATATAATATATAATATAAAATATATATATACATAAAAATATACATTATACATAATATAACATAATATACATATATAATACTATATATATATATATATAAACATATATAACAATATATCATATATATAATTATTATACATATACATATATACATATTATATATATTAACATATAATATATATATTTTATAAAAATATATATATACCTATAATATTAAAACTATTTTTATAATAACAATACATATAATACAATAAAAAAATTTTATATATATAATACAATATATATATATAATATATAATTTAAAATACATATATTAATATATATATAATACATTATAATATAAAAAATATATATACAATATATATATATACATAAAATATTATAATTTATTACATATCTATATATACATATATTAAATATAAATATACATATTAAATTAATTACATATATATATATATACATATATATTATCCCAAAATATATTAATACATAATATTATAATTTCATATATATAATATAATTATATTATTTTATAATATATATATTTTAATATATATTATATAATATTTTTATAATATATATATATTTTATATTATTTTAAAAAATATATATAATTTTATACATAAAATTTTATACTATCAATATATATAATCATAATATTATAATAATATATAATATCATATAAATACAAATATATATATATATATATTACATACATATATACATATATATAATATAATACATACCCTATATATAATATATATATAACAAATTAAATATACATACTATAAAATATAATATACATACATATATATAATAGTATATTTTACAACATTATATATATATTTCATACATAATATTTATATATACTACATAAATAATATATATTAAAACATACAATATATATATATAACATACATATATATATATAAATACATACATATATATTAATAAAAACAAATTATATATACAACATATATAAATTTTATACATACATATTATATATATATCATAATTAAATATATAATATATACATAAATAAAAATATATATATACTACAATAAATATATAAAATATACATACAAATATAATATATATACAACAAAAACATATATATCTACATAATATATATATACATAAATATATATATATATAATATATAATTAATATACAAATATAAATTTCAAATAAAACAATATCATATAATATATATCATGTACATGTAATATAATATTGAAATTTCCCAGATGATTACAAGTCAAATAGAATACAGTAAAAAGGGCTATTGTTCACTAAACCAGGAGCTAAAGCTGCTGTGGCTGCTAAGGTGATGGATGCATGAGTGAACATCCTTATTAATTCTG